AAATAACATGTATGATAATATGATTCACTTAAGCTATTTTACCCTACAGGGCTACAAGTTAATAACTTAAATGGGTCAAATATGGGTTTACAACCATATAAATTTATGGTTAAACCCACCCATCGGTGGCCGCGTTGGTTTGCGCTCAGTTCCTTTCACGAGAGGTTCTGGGTTCAAAACTCGCCCATCGGTGATTTAAGTGGGGGTCGTGGCGGTGGGATCTTTGCGCTAGCCCCCTCGAGGACTAGTAGGGCATCACCGTGGTTTGAGCCTTAACTCGGCCGCGTGACACCTCGATTATCAAAAAAAAAAAAAAAACTTAGGCTTTAATATTGCAAACCCATTTTGATCTGTTTTCAAAATTTCAAGTGACCCATAATCAACTTAGGGCTACTAAAAATGAGTTAATAAATGGGTTTTTGATCTCTATTGCCACCTCTAGCCACTATGTACCTAGTTGGGTATTTTATGAAATTTGATTCGCTTAGAGTGAAATTTCACATCTTAGGAAAAAAAAGGGGGAAATGACATGCTCCTTAGACTTTGACTAAATGTGTGACATCATTTCTGATTATTTACTTTGCTTGATGTGGTCTTAGAATTATTAGTAAACGTTCAATATAGTCATCTCGTTTGCTCAAATGACAAATCATACATTATTTAATAACATGAATTATTGTATGTTGAGTTGGATTTTTAAAAAGAAGGATGAATCAACATGTTAATCTTTTTAGGGATAATGATATAGATGGTACTTCAACTTTGGCTTAATTTGTAATTTGATCTCTGAACTTTCAATTTATTTAATGTGGTCCATGAACTTTTGGTACACGTTCAAATTAGTCCATATACTACATGAAAATGTTCAATGTACAACATTGAACATTTTCATGTAGTCTAGGGACTAGTTGGTATCACGTTAAACAAATTAAAAGTTTAGGGACCACATTGCATATTGGGCTAAAATTTAGAGATCACTTTAAATAAATTGAAAGTTCAATAACCACGTTGCACATTATAGGGGTGTAAATTGTTCGGTTTTTTAACAAAATCGAACCGAATTGAACCGTTAGTGGTGTATCTTTGAACCGAACCAAATCTCGCTCGAACTGAAAAACCGGTTTGGTTCGGTTTTTTCTTCTTATTCTTTTTTTTTTCTTGCTTTTTATTCACTGCTTTGTTTTCGATTTTGGGTCCCTCTTCTTCCTCCTCGTCTCCTTCGTCCTCTTCTCCTTCTTCTTCATCGTCGTCCTCTTCTTCCCCCTGACTACCATCTCCTTCCTCATCGTCATCTTCGTCGAAATCCTCATCGCCGTCGCTGTCGTGGGTGGATCCGGAGCGACTGGGGGCTGCACCGTCGGGGTAAATCTTGGGATCGTGAACGAGCAAGGCGCGGAGCCCCATTGTGGAGACGGATCAGTTTATGGAGCCGTAGGTCATTGGGCGACTTGATGACGACTTCCTCCGACGAGAATGCAGGAGGGAGCCCCATGGTTCAGCACCGTCAAGGCCTGGTCTGGTCTTCTGTCTTGCTTTGCGTGGGGAGAGGAAGGGAAGCAAAGGGTGTGCCGGGTGAGGGAAGAGGAGGAGAGAGAATAAAGAAGAAAAGGGAAAGAGAGAGAGAGAGAGCGAGGGATACAGGAAGAGAGAGAGAGAGTGAGAGGACGGCTTCTGACGGTGAGAGTGAGGAGAGAGAGTGTACGCGAAATGAAAAAAAAATACAAAGAAATCGAGATCCGATCCGAACCGGACCGAACTATGAACTAACCGAATTTTTTTACTTATTGTCTGAACCGAAATCGAAACCGAACTGAAAATGCATGAATTTTCGGTTCGATTTTTGACACCCCTAGCACATTGTACCAAAATTCATAAATTATTTATGTCATTTTCCCATCTTTTTATGTATCTACTTTAGAAAAGCAAAAAAAAAATTAGGGTGTTAACATGTCCATCATTATTTGATGACATGGATTTTAATATTCTGATTTGAGATGAATATCTTACTCGGACAATTCATGTATAAATTTTTGTTGTTATATATCATTCAAACTTAACGGATTGGAAGCCACGTTAGCAGATTTCGTTAGTTTGAATCAACGAAAGGACGGCATTGAACATATTTATATTGTTTAGGAACTATATTTCAAGGTTCGCCTTAAATAAATTATAAGTCCAGGGATAATATTACACATTAGATTAAACTAGATTAAAGTTTAAGAATAATTTGTGTCGTTTTCCCAAAAAATTTTAACATGTGTATAAAGTTTTAGATGCCAAAACTATTAAAATAAAAAAATCGACTGCCATCGAAGATAACTGAAAAAAAAGATAAATTGAAAAAAAAAAAAAAAACAGAGGCCGAACGAGCCTTAACGGCCAATCAAACACTATCTCCACCTCTCTCCGGAGGCGAGACCAGGAACTAATCCCATGATGGCGACTTCGGCACTCCCTCTGTTACCGCCCTTTCCTCACTCTCACATCCCCACCGCCACCGCCACCACCGCCGCCGCCGCCGCCACCGGCGGCGAAGCCCTGCTCTCTCCGCCGAAGCCGACCCTCAAGACCCCTACCGTCCGCTCCCGCCTCAGCAGGCTCTGCCAAGAAGGCCAGCCCCTCCTCGCCCGCCAACTGTTCGACACAATTACTCGCCCGTCCACCGTCCTATGGAACACCATCATCATCGGCTTCATCTGCAACAACATGCCCGACGAAGCCCTCCTCTTCTATTCCCGGATGAAGAGAGCCTCCCCTGACGTCCAGTTCGATTCCTACACTTACTCCTCCACTGTCAAGGCCTGTGCCGAGACGCGTAATTTGAGGGTAGGTAAGGCCGTGCACTGCCATTTCATCCGGTGCCAGCCGAACCCCAGTAGGATTGTGTATAATTCTCTGTTGAATATGTACTCTGCTTGCTTGAGCAGTGCGGAGAATGATGTGGGTTGTTTGATGGGTTCCGGCTACATCGCGAGTGATCCGGTGCGGAGAGTTTTCGATACAATGCGCAGGAGAAATGTGGTATCTTGGAATACATTGGTATCGTGGTATGTAAAGACCGAGAGGTATATGGATGCAGTCAAGCAGTTTCGGACAATGATAAAGACCGGAATAAGGCCGAGTCCGGTCAGCTTCGTTAATATCTTCCCTGCCATATCAGGTGTTGGGAAGAGAAAGCTAGCCAACGTGTTTTATGGGTTTCTTGTAAAGTTGGGAGATGAATTTGTGAATGACTTGTTTGTTGTCAGTTCAGCTATATTTTTGTATGCAGAGCTTGGGTGTCTTGATATTGCTAGGAAGATTTTTGATCATTGTCTTGAGAAGAACACAGAAGTGTGGAACACCATGACTAGTGCATATGTTCAGAGTGATTGTCCTGCTGAAGGGATTGAGCTCTTTGCTCAAGCTTTGGCTTCAGAGCAAATGGACCTCGATGATGTAACTTATCTCTCGGTTTTAATGGCTGTTTCACAGATGCAACGATTGGATTTAGCTTTACAGCTTCATGCCTATTTGATTAAGAGGTTCATAGTATTGCCCATTAACATATTAAATGCAGTGATAGTAATGTATTCAAGATGCAATTCAGTTCAGACGTCATTTAAGGTTTTCGATAAGATGCTGCAAAGAGATATTGTCTCTTGGAATACAGTCATTTCTGCTTTTGTCCAGAATGGGCTGGATGATGAAGGTTTGATGCTTGCCTATGAGATGCAGAAACAAGGGTTTATGGCTGATCCTGTGACAGTGACTGCTTTACTCTCCGCTGCATCAAATCTGAAGAATCAACGCATTGGCAAGGAGGTTCATGCATATCTTCTCAGGAATGGGATTCAATTTGAGGGAATGGGTAGCTATCTCATAGACATGTATGCTAAATGTGGGTTGATTAGGACTGCAGAACAGATCTTCAACATTGATTACATGAATGACCGAGATCAAGCTATATGGAATGCTATGATTTCTGGGTACACTCAAAATGAACTGACTGAAGAAGTTTTTGTGATTTTGCGACAGATGCTTGAGCAAAAAGTCATGCCCAATGCTGTTACAATAGCATCAGTTCTTCCTGCTTGTAGCTCAATTGGAAGTATAAGTTTCGGTAAGCAAATCCATGGATTCTCAGTTCGCAACTTTCTGGACCAAAATATCTTCGTGGATACTGCTCTCATTGACATGTACTCCAAGTTGGGTGTCATCAGAGATGCTGAAAATGCCTTCAGAAGGACCACAGAGAAAAATTCGGTCACGTATACCACCATGATACTTGGTTATGGTCAGCATGGGATGGGTGAGAGAGCTGTTTCGTTATTTCACTCAATGAAAGGGCTTGGCATTGAACCTGATGCAATTACCTTTGTTGCAGTCCTGTCTGCGTGTAGTTATGCTGGATTAGTTGATGAAGGCCTTCAGATATTTAGGTTAATGGAGAGGGAATATAAAATTCAACCATCAACTGAGCACTACTGCTGCATTGCTGACATGTTAGGGAGAGTTGGGAGAGTGGGAGAGGCGTTTGAGTTTGTCAGTGAGTTGGGTGAAGACGGTAATAAGTTGGCAATTTGGGGTTCACTTCTGGGAGCCTGCAAAATTCATCGACATTTTGAAATGGGGGAAAGTGTTGCAAGAAAGATGATTGAACTTGGGATAGGGAACACCAACTCAGGCTATCAAGTTTTGCTATCAAATATATACGCGGAGGAAGGAAACTGGGAGAGCGTTGATAGGTTGAGGGGAGAGATGAGGGAAAAGGGTCTGAGAAAGGAGGTTGGATGTAGTTGGATTGATATAGCAGGTACCATGAACTATTTTTTATCAAGGGATCAAAGCCATGAGCAATGCGACGAGATACATAGTATGTTGGATGGATTAGCCATGGGGATGAGGAATACTGGTTATAGGCCTTATCTTGATCCTGATCATGTTGAGGTATTTGAATAAAATATCTAGATTGTCTCTGATTAGCACATATTTGGTCTTCTCTCTCCATGAATCTGCGGACGGCTGGCAACTGGAAACTAAACCTTTTGTTGGATGTCTTATTCTCCTATTAAATATCCGCCCTCCCAGAACATTATGTCAAATCTTCAAGGGAGAGTGTTTTCTGTGTGCTTGGAAGTGTTGAACCCGAATTTTGGTTCACTCAGATTTCCGGGGTATTTTTATTTCAGAAACCTACATGGTTATTGCTCCTTGAGTCTGTTGATGAGGATTAATGTAGCCAATGCAAGCAATGGTAGATGAATTGCTTTAAGTTATTGGAGCGTCGTCAAAAACAATGCATATGCCATATAAACAACACAGGTTGGTTATCAATGACTGTGCATTCCAATACTGTGGGAGGATTTGAATGCAGTTAATATAGATTGATATCTTTCAAGAGAGAGAGACGCCTTCAGCTTGACTTTGCACATTTTTCCCAACCCTGCATGAGTGAAGGTAAACTGGAAAGGCTTGATTTGTTTTCCATAAATGGCCTCTTTATCCTTCAGTAGTGATCTGTGTTTGTGTAATATAATCTTACCATTTATCTTTTTGTTAATAGATGAGGCCCCTGTTATCCAAGTGAGAAATTACGTACAATTATCATCCGGGCACTTGGGGAAAAGGTTTCTTCCTCCTCCAACTGAGACCACCTTCATTGCACCATTTTCTGTAACACGATCTGTAAGTTGGCGGAATATCGACTTCTCATAATTTATATGCTTGTGAGTTTTCCTCTACCCGTGATACAAAGTAGCATGACTAGTGCCAGCAGAAGCAACTTCCTTGTCCTTTCTCCAATCAAAAGGACAAAAAAAATACTGTCTTTTAGCATTTCAAATAATTGGACTTGCAGAGGCTTTATCTTCCCCATACGGATCAGAACCTCTCACGACCACATGCCCTCTCTTGTCCTCTTCCTTATCCATAACACCAAAACTCTATGGCAATTTCAGGACTAAGAGAAGAGAAAAGATAAGATCCAAGTTTCAATAGCCATGAAGAGGGGAGAGCTGGTATTCATCCCTTCACCCGGCATCGGTCAACTTGTACCCACTGTTGAAGTCGCCAAGCTCCTTGTCCAAAGAGACCACCACCTCTCGGCCACAATATTCATCATTACATTGCCGTTTGACAATAAAATCACCACCTACACCGACTCTCTTGCTTCTTCTTCCTCCTCCATTGATGGCCGCGTTAAGTTTGTTACCCTCCCTGAACAGAAACCTGCCTCAGAGGGGAACTTTTTGACCTCCCTGATAGAAACCCAGAAACCCCATGTCAGAATGGCGGCTGCCCGGTTCGCTCATTCTGAGTCAGGCCGTGAGGAGACGAGACTTGCAGCTTTCGTGATTGGCATGTTCTGCACGACGATGATTGACGTTGCCAATGAGTTTGGAGTCCCCACTTATGTCTTTTACACTTCAAGTGCCGGTGCTCTTGGCCTCATGCTCCATCTCCAAAGCCTTCGTGACGTCCATAGCCAAGACATCACCGAGCTGAAAGACTCGGATACTGAGTTGACGGTCTCGAGCTGCATCAACCCAGTTCCAGCCAAAGTGTTGCCCTCTGTAGTGCTAAACAGAGATTGGTCCACGGTGATACTGTATCAATTTCAGAGATTCAAAGAAACAAAGGGTATATTGGTAAATACGTTTCTGGAGCTGGAATGCCATGCCGTCAAGTCCTTTGCAAACAGTGAAATCCCGACGGTGTACCCGGTGGGACCCATACTAGACCTCAAGGGCGACGCTCACGTGGGGTCCAGTGATGATCAAAAGAGGGAGGATCTCATCTGTTGGTTGGATGATCAGCCTCCGGCATCGGTCGTGTTCCTTTGCTTCGGGAGCATGGGAAGCTTCAGCGAGGATCAAGTGAGAGAGATTGCGTGCGCGCTGGAGCAATGCGGGTATAGGTTCGTGTGGTCCCTACGTCAGCCTCCGCCAAAAGGCAAGATGGGGTACCCCAGCGATTATGCCAATCCTGAGGCCGCATTACCCGATGGGTTCTTGGAACGGACGGCCACGGTCGGGAGAGTGATTGGTTGGGCTCCGCAGGTGGTGGTCCTGGCCCATCCGGCGGTTGGAGGGTTTGTGTCCCACTGCGGGTGGAACTCCATACTGGAGAGCCTTTGGTATGGCGTGCCAGTCGCCACGTGGCCGCTGTACTCAGAGCAGCAATTCAATGCCTTTGAAATGGTGAGGGAGCTGGGATTGAGCGTTGAGATAAGGATGGATTACAGGAGAGATGTGAGGGCTGAGAGCGAATCAATGGTTTGTGCAGATGAGATAGGGAGAGGGCTCAAGAGTTTGATGGGAAGCGGCAGTGAAATGGAGATGAGGAAGAAGGTGAATGAGATGAAGGCAAAATGTAGGATGGTGACCATGGAAGGTGGGTCTTCATACTCTTCTCTGGGTCAGCTGATTAGTGAGATTTTGGACAACATGCAATGAAGTGGACAAATGACAGCTACAGCTACCAAATCGACGCTGGAAAAAGGACGTCTGCAGAGAATTTTTCTTCCACCGGCGTTGGATGCAAACACTACCGTGAAACCGCCGTTGTATGCAGAAATTATTGCTTTTTTATTACGTTCTATGTCAAGGACTTCTTTTGTGTGTATGTAAGACAGGATCTATCATTACAAGCAAATTTTCTTCAAGCCCATTTGGCCAAGAGAGACATACAGCCAGCACCAAGAAGAAGAGCTACATTGGACCAAAACAGGAGCCTCCCGTTGTTCTGCAGCTTAGGGCTCAAGAAATCAGCAGCAAGAAGATCGACCAGGGCCATGTAAATCAATATCCCTGAAGATGCAGAATTGAAGATGCCCTCCACAATGAGTGCGGTTGGGCTGTTCTCATCATACACATTGGTGATTCCCAATCCTATACCAATGCCAACTGGGGTTGTGAGGGAGAAAAACAGCGCCATGATTGCACTTGCCCGAGTCTCAAACTTGGCCTACAATAGCAAAAGAGAGAAACCAGACATTAGTTTTAATAGATGTATTTGGTCAACACCATAATAAGACAAGGACAATTTTGATGCAGTGGAGGTGATTGGACAAATTATGAAAAGGCAATCACTAGGTACTTTGGTACTTCACCACCATTCGATGTATTTTGAAAGTTATGCGGGAAATTAGAACTAAAGTGGTAATTGCTAATTTTTAGTTCCATTGAGTGAAATGATCGACCCTTATGGTTGTTTTACAGATTTCTAAGAAAATAAAGCCTTTTTTAAAGGTCGATGTTGAGATACATCTGCATGAGCAGTAGAAATATGTTGGAACGAATGACTGAATCAAGATTTAATTCAAATTTCTTTTATGCCATGACCCATATAAGGCGCCGACGGGGTAATTTGGAAATGATCAAAAAAGTCATAAACCTTTCAATTCCGACAAGTTAGTATTAAGATTTTTGACGATTTTTAAATTTAGTCATTTTAGCCAATTTTGGCTGGAAATTATTGTTGTGCACAAATTTTTTTTTAAATTTTTAATTATTTTTTCTTTTCATTTTTTTCCAATCTTGGGCTGCCGGCCAAAGGCGAGGGTGTCGCGGCCCTCCCTTTGACGAGGGTCACCTCTCCCATGATTGGTGAGGGCCTGGAGCCACCTCGCCGGCCGAAGATATAAAAAAAGGAAAAAAATAAGAAGAAAATAAATAAAAGAAAAAATTATTAAAAAAAAAATATTCATGTCAGCGCCGGCTCTCCTAAGTGTTATGGCCGGCATTGAGTAAACTTTTCCAACCAAAATTGATTGAAATGACTAAATTGACAAATCATTAAAATATTTAAGATTAAATTGATACGATCAAAAGGTTTGTGATTGAATTAGTAAATTATCAAAAATTTTATGACTAAATTAGTCAAATCGAAAGGTTTACGATTGAATTGACACAAATACAGTAGGTTTAAGACTCTTTAGGTAATTTTTCCTCTAGTCGAAATATGTATACACCGAATTATTATTGCAAGATGATAGAGATTGACTTCAAATTCAAATATCAAAAACTTGTCCTGCAGTTTCACTGGTCAAATGTCTTAACGTGTAGATAGACCTTATCATGTTCGGAAGCATTCAGGAAATTAATGCTACCCAATTGACCAAAAACCATAATAACTGTAGCTTTAAAAGCCCCTTTTCCTGGAAAATTCAAAGATTTTACATGATTGGAACCAGAAAAGAAACTTCAATATGCATGGGAAAATGCTGTTTATTGAATTCAAAAGCAGATTTTGAGGATTAAAGAGCAAAAGTACCTGAGAGATGCATCCACCGAGGCCCATGCCTTCAAAGAATTGGTGAAAGGTCAAGGCAGCAACAAGAGGCCTGATTGTGCTTGGACTCTCCGAAGCTCCCAACGAGATCCCTATGATCACTGAGTGCACCACAATCCCCAACTCTAGCACCTAACGATGTCATAACCCCAAATCTCGAATGATATCTCACCATTTTAACTAAAACATAACTGTAATAGAAAACAAGTCAAGACGACTAAGGTGCGGAAATTGGGAATAACGGAATGAACCTGAGATATCACTCTATGCCGTAGGAGATCCGAGTTCGAGTCTGTCGATATCGAACCGTGAGAGTGGCCATGAACATGACCTTGGTTTTCTCCGGCCTTCTCTTCATCTCCGATGCTTTTACCCGGTCCGGCCTTGTCGGTGTACAACTTCTTATAATAGGAAGTTGCGAGAGTGTCCACGATCAGCGTCCCGAGGGCGGCGAGCATCGCCACGAACCCCGCGAACGGGAAATCCCCCCATGGGGTCTTGCTCAGGCACGGCGAGGTCAAGTTCTCAAAGGCATCCGGGAGTACGTGTATGAAGCCGGTGGACGCTATCACCCCGGCCGTGAAGGCCTTGATGATGAAAAAGATACTTCTCTCGGGGTGCAGAGCCGGGACCGTCTTCCCAACGATCGGGAGGCACACCCCGATTGCGCCCGCCACGAGGATCGAGGCTATCGCCGCTAGCTTGTACTTGAGGGCCTCGTCCTTGTTGCGGTCCTCGCTGTCTCTCTCGCATGTGCAATCGGCAAGGACGAGCGGGATCAATGCGAGCACGCCGAGCAGGCACAAAAGCCTCATAACTTGAGTTTGAACAAGAAATTTTTGCTCTCAATTGAGGTGCCTAGCTTTCACCTTTGGTATAAAAAAAAGTTGGGCTAGATGTTTTTGTCCTTGGGCTTCCCGAGACTTTTAGGTGTTTAGAGGTTCAACATATAGTTGTATTGTTGAGATGACCGGAGAAAGAGGAAAATTGTCCAAAAAGTCTTAAATCTATTGCATTTTTGTCAATTCAGTCTTAAATTTTTCAACTTTGCTAATTGAGTCCTAAAAGTTTTCGCTTTTTGTCAATTGAGTCTATCCGGTCACTTTTGGCTTGAAATGGGTGACGTGGACGCCGCCCTTCCTACGTGGCATCGCCGACGCCGATGTGGGTAGTTTTAAATAATATTTTATTATTTTTTCGATTTTTTTTTTCATTTTTTTCCTGTTCTTTTCTTTGTTTTTTTGCTTCTTCTTCCTCTGGTCGCCGGCCTCCTCCATGGCCGGTGACCGGCCGCAGGGGAGAGCCGGCGAGGGTCGACCTCATCAGCCGAGCGAGGCTCGCCTCCCAGGTGCGACGTTGGCGGGCGAGGTCCCCTCACCAGTTTCTGGCGAGGGCCGAGCGAGGCTCGCCCTCGCTAGCTTCGGTCGAGCCTCGACTAAGGCCGACCCATGATAGACAGGCCTTGATGGACAAACAGAGCTACCGAGGTTCGACCAAAGCTGGCGAGGCTGACCCTTGCTCGCCTCGGCGATGTCACACTTGGGAGGTGAGCCTCGCTCGCCTGGCGAGGTTGGCCCTCGTCGGCTCTCCCTCGCGGCCGGTCGCTGGCCATGGAGGAGGCCGGCGACCAGGAGGAAGAAGAAGCCAAAAAACAAAGAAAAGAAAAGGGAAAAAATGAAAAAAATTTGAAAAAATAATAAAATGTTATTAAAAATTGTTAACGTCAGTGCCGACGGTGCCACATAGGACGGCCGGCGTCCACGTCACCTATTTTTGGCCAAAATTGGCCGGATGGACCTAATTAACGACAACTGAAAATGTTTAGGACTCAATTGGCAAATTTAAAAGGTTTAGGACTGAATTGGTAAAAGTGTAATGGGTTTAGGACTTTTTGGATAATTTTCTTGGAGAAAGAGTGTGGTCAGTTGTTGTTGTGCAAACTTGAAAGCATTCATGGGAAGTGATTTAAGAACAAGTTAGTGAAGAAAAGATCGATGAGTTTGAGGTAAGCAGGTGTGTTGATACTAAGTTGACATAATTTGAATTTTAAATGCCTAAAATAGACAACGTCCAACGGGAAATACGGACATTCGGAAGGGGCCAAATTCTCATCTTGCTTTTTATTAATTACTCAGCCCGTTTCAATAATTTGAGAAAATCTCAAATCATTACACTCCTGACAAATTTATCACCCGTTGATCAATCAATATGTTTGTCTTACATTGATCCTAAAATAATTTTCATATAGTTAAAAATCTCAAATCATTACACTCCTGACAAATCTATCACGGGTTGGCTTCCGCTGAATTGCTGAAGTGGAAACACACGCGAAAACGACTCAGACTATCGGCGTGTGACGTGGATATTCAAAATAAATGGGTTTCTTGAGCTGGGTGGTTTTAGGAAGCCAAATCAAAAGAAAATAAATTGAGATTATGGCTTCGTTTGTCTGGTGAAAAATGAATAATTTGAAAAACACTTTCCTCGATAGCTTGTATTGCTTAAAAAATGAATAAACGAAAAATATTTTTATCGTCCAATGATATGTTTCGACATAAATTGTTGTCAATGATTAGAACATTTTTCATTGACTAATTATTTCAAGCGATGTAAGCGATTACTTTTAGGAAAATAATTTCCAAATCGTTAATTTTCTGCGAAACATACTCACCCTATGAAATATGCTAAAATCTACTAATCTTGCCCCCTCACGTTCCAAATATTTGCTAAAATCCCTAAATTTGTCCCAACTTTGCTTTAAAATTTTTGATAAATCTATCAAGGTTTACCGGTTTTCGATTTTTTATGACACGAAAATTAATATGGAGAAAATGTGTCATGAATGGACTAATTTGGAATTTTTGGTGGCATTAACCCTTATTTTTAATTGCAAATTGAGCTAAATTCCTAATGGAGAAGTGATTTGCAGTGAGAGAAATAAAACACAGGGCAAGTATTATTGTATAACATGGACTAGTTTTCCTGCTTGAGAGCTTGCTTCATTCTTCGTATATTAAATGTGTAAGCTGCCAGTCCTTCTATTTCGTTCCTCATTTCAAAAGCAGAAGATTATTTGCATCCCAGGTCAAGCAATCAAGTCTGAACTATTTTTTGAGATAGAGATTTCACATGATAACTAGACCGTCATGTCGGTAATTTCCGGCCAAAATTACAAAATTTGTTCATGTCAGTGCTGTTCGTGCCATGTAGGACGGCCCGGTGCTAACTAGACCATCGTGTAGGCGATTTCCGACCAAAATTGGCCAGAATGACTAAATTGACAAATTGTCAAAATGTTCAATAATTTTTTTTTTGGTCAAAAGAAATTTCATTTCATTACCAAAATGATACATGAAAGTATTGATAGGAAATCTCAAAAGTCACAATAACAAGGCAAGCCCATAGAGCTCCATAACAAGCTGAAAACCAGAAATCAAGGTATATTCTCAAAGCATGGTTGGCAGAGATAATCACATGCTCGTCCTTCAAGAACAGATTTATGACTGTATTCAAGCGAAAGGATGGCGGCTAATCACCGAATCACATAGCATAATCAGTGATAAGTATACACCGGGATTTCTATCTGTAGTTACAGATTTTCCTTTCGGCAATGTGCGCGTAGATTCGGTGTCCTCAACACCATCACTATACGGAAACAACATAAACATGTTGAATAAACTCAGATTTGACACCTGTGAGAGTGAGCCATTTAGCCAGTGTGAGGCATCAAAGCTTTTAACTAAAACAGGTTGAACGAGCACATATATGACATTGAAGCTGCCGTGAACACCATTGAAACTTGAGGCGAAGTACTTATTCATTAAAACTCAAAATCTAGAATTAGATCAGACGAAAAAGCTCCCAGATATAAGATCGGGAGAGCAAAGCTCCCAGATCTAAAACTAGATCGGGAAAATAAAAGGTTCCAGATTGAATTGTCACAATTGCAATAAAATTTAGTACTTTTTTGGTATTTTCCTAAAAAAAAATTCGCATGGACCACGAGAGCTTGTCAAAGATCTGGAGGTATGTCGATCACGCTATCCGCTTACTCTTGATGAGACACGAGAGGCACAAAGCTATGAGAAATCGAACCATTCAGCTTGGTAGAAAATCTAAAAAGCTCTAATTATCATATGAACAAACTACATGTATTTAAGCTCATCGCAACTTTTTATTCTTTTTTATTGGCAATGTCAATCCCTTCATGTCCACGAGATAACTGAGGTGGGCTTGTAGTGGGCTTGACGACATAGTTTTACGTCATCATCAATCGATGAGACAATGTCAACTTTTTCATTTCTCTTCTTTCTTTATCTCATCGACATAATTTTAAGTTATCATCAATCGATAGTGTTTGGTTAAAAGGTAATTGAAGTGAGCTTGACTATGAATTGTGAGTGCCGCCTTGTTGGAGATTTCGCAGGTCCATTTAAGTTTGGGTTAATAGCACCAATGGTTTCTGAATTTTGGTTCAATGTGCATTGTCGTCCTTGAACTTTTAATATATGTAATGTGATCTCTAAACTTTGGCCCAATATGCAATGTCATCTTAAACTTTTAATTTATTTAATGTGGTGTATGAACTATTGATATGTGTCCAATGTGGTCCTTAGACTAAATTTAAAAATTTAGAAATCACATTGCACATTTGATCAAGGTTAAGGTACTGCATTGAACAAATTAAAAATTAAAGGATGACATTACATATTAGACCAAAGTTGAAGATCATTTATATCATTTTCCCTTGAAGTTTCTGGCTTCTTTATTTTCGGTGCGCTTATAGTCTTAGTTGGGCCCCGAAATATCAAACTCTTGTACTTTCATTTTTCATGCGACATAACGTCAGAAAGGCGGCCGCCCGCCGGTTGACTCATCCTGCACGACAATGATGGACATTGCCAATGAGTTTGAAGTCCCCACTTATGTCTTTTGCACTTCAAGTGCTGGCGCACTTGGTGTCATGCTCCATCTCCAAACCCTTCGTCACGTCCACAGCCAAGACAACACCGAGCTGAAAAACTCGGATAATGGGCTGACGGTGCGACGCCCTACAATGTCACGTGCAATATGTGTCCTTTTCAATTATATTTTCTTATTAATATCAACATGTATAAGATACATAGTTCCAAACAACAAATCCAACAAGATTAATTAATGTACACATGCGTCTTTATATTAACATCAATAGATGATGTTTTGATACAGCGCCCGAGCAAAACACAATTATATAACATAAGTTGGGAAGGATCAGGGTCACCCAATTCCGTCGTACCACTCCTACGCCAAAAACTTGCCCATACAAAAGCCCAGTTATTCACCGTGAGACGGGTCGCCGTCGTCGTCGCTGTCGTCGTCACCATCGAAGCCTCTAAACGGTCCAACCAACTTAGCGTCAATATTTCAATACCAAGCGACAAATCGATGAGCAATCCACTCTTGAAGCCTCCCCGAGTCTTTCACACATACTCATACAAAGGAATTCACTCTTTAACGTATAGGTTGTGGCAACGGTCTTCATCACATAGCATCACTAATTCATTCGTAAAGGGTAAATGTCATGCACATCTCAACAATCACCATTACAATGAAAGTGTGTTAATATGTCAACATTTTCCACATACACGATATTAACCCAAATGATTCATGCACTCCAACCTGTATACCCTCATTCTCTTCTCACCATGCTATCCTTGTTTAACCAAAGGCTTTATTCAGACAATCGTCAACTTTAGAGATCAGTACTTAGACATCGATAGCTTCGAAATCGATAATTTAGCCGGAATCAACAAGTTTGAATTGGGCAACTTGGTCGGAAATCGGCAATATGAAAATTAGCTAGTGGAGTGATATTGGCCAATTGGTTAATAAATCGACTTGGACTGAAAAATGGATAAGATGATTAAGATTGGTGAGGTGGTCGAAATCGATGGAGTAACCTGAATCGGTGAAATGGTCAATTTTACCCTCAATCTTAAAATCAACCATTTGATTAGAATTATATAACTTGATTAAAAATCAATGACTCAGTCAAAACTCGTGATTTGATTGGTCGACCAACACGTAATTGAAATTTCGAAAATATCACTTTCAAGTCCAGCATTACTGTTTTCCATTTCTCCTACTCGAAGCACGACAATACCTTTGAGAAGATAAACCAAGCACATCCTAAGCATGGGGATCACTTTTTAGCTCACCCAAACAATCATAAAAGTTCAACATGCCGATAATGAAATTCCATCATACTTAAACTTAAACCAAAAGTACAAACATCTAATCAATCAAGTCAAGCTTACTAAATATATCAATCCAACTAAGCTCCTAAAGCTTTTATTTACCTTAAATAAAAGAAGGTTGAAAAACTCAAAGCTTTAATTACTTCAAGGAAAAACAATCAAAATAGGAATTGACAACTCTCCATCCTTTTAAACAACAAAACCAATTTGATAAACAGAAGAGGAAATTCAATAATTCACCTTGTAAACACTTGAAATATCGAATTAGAAGCTTCATTAATCAAGTGTGGGACCTTTGTCTTTATTCAAAAGATTAGAAAGTGAGAATCGAAGAGGAAAGTGAAGTGAGCTTTATTTTATTTCTTTTGCATGAACAAGTTGCAATTCTTTTTAAAGCTTGAATACTTGTAATGGTTTACTTGATCAAGAAGGGGTTGTATTTCAGTACGAAAACAAGGAAAACAGTGCCCAATCTACACACCGATAATACGGAAAAATATTTTGAATTCATTAAAAGTTATCAAAAGCTGGAGAATCACAACTTAGTAAATTTCTAATCTCAACATTGTATCGATCCCATTAACAATTGCCAAGGCGGTAAGTTAATCACCATCATTCTACACAATCGACACATATATAAGTATCTATTAATTTTATCCTAACGCATCGCATTTCAAGCGACTACGGACGCGGAAAATCGTTCTTCGAACTTTCAGCACGTCACAAAATTAGTGACTCACTTGATATTCCATACGGGCCATCTAAAACTCCAAATTAATCAATAATTAACTTTATATCCTATATATATTATTATCAAATATAGAAAATTTCAGATGTCCGAGTTGCGTCAACCCAGTTCCAGCCAAAGTCTAGCCCTCCGTGGTGCTAAACAGAGACTGGTCCACGGGGATACTGGATCAGTTTCTTACATTCAAAGATACAGAGGGCATACTGGTTAATACATTTCTGGAGCTGGAATGCCATGCCCTCAAGTCCTTTGCAAACAGTGAATTCCCATCGGTGTACCCGGTTGGACTTGTACTAGACCTGTCCAGCGATGATCGACAGAGAGAGGATCTCATCTGTTGGTTGGATGATCATCCTCCGGCATCCGTCATGTTCCTATGCTTCAGGTGCATGGGAAAGCTTCGGCGAGGATCAAGTGAGAGAGATCGCCTGCGCAATGGAGCAATGCGGGTATAGGTTCGTGTGGTCCCTACGTCGGCCTCCGCCAAAAGGCAAGATGGGGTACCCCAGTGATTACGTCAATCCTGAGGCCACATTGCCCGACATGTTCCTGAAACGGACGGCCACAGTCGGGAGAGTGATCGGTTGGGCCCTGCAGGTGGCGGTCCTGGCCCATCCGGCGTGTGGCCGCTGTACTTGGAGCAGCAATCCAATGCCTTTGAAATGTCGAGGGAGCTGGTATTGAGCGTTGAGATTAGGATAGATTACAGGACAGATTTGAGGAGGGAGAGTGAATCAATGGTCCGTGCAGACGAGATAGAGCGAGGGCTCAAGAGATTTGATGGAAAGCGGAAATGAGATGGAGATAAGGAAGAAGGTGAATGAGATGAAGACAAAATGTAGGATGGAGACCACGGCAGAAGGGTCTTCATACTCTTCTCTGGGCGAGCTCATTGTCGAGATTTTGGACAACATGCAATAGAGTGGACAAATGACAATTAAGTCAAGGTACTTCTCTTGTGTGTATATCAGACGGGATCTGTCACTTAAATACATACCCATATTTATTCGGTGTATATATAACATTCACCATCGTTTCCTTCAAGCTCGAAACACCATGACATAGTCGAAAAATCATATATGCTCATTGACTAATGCCTAGGACTATGAAAAGCTAAAACCTTTCAAGCAACTAAAATGCCTTCTTTGATATGTTTGATCTCTTTTTTGCTTCCTTTGCTTCAAGCCCATTTAGCCAAGAGAGACATGCAACCGGCACCAAGAAGAAGAGAGACATTGGTAAAAAACAGGAGCCTCCCATTGTTCTGCAACTTAGGGCTCATGAAATCAGCAGCGAGAAGATCTACCAGGGCCATGTAAATCAATATCCCTGAAGAAGCAGCGTTGAAGATGCCCTCCACGATGAGTGCGTTCGGGCTGTTCTCATCATACACGTTGGTGACTCCCAATCCTATAGCAATCCCAACTGGGGTTGTGAGGGAGAAAAACAGAGCCATGATCACGATTGCCCGGGTCTTAAACTTGGCCTGCAAAAGCAAAACACAGAAAACAGAGGTCATCTTTAACATGATCGAGTTAAGATTCAATTCAAATTCCTTTTATGCCACGCCCAGTATAAGAAGACAACTAGTATCTTGTCAAAAGTTATTCCAAGATGATGATAGAGATTGAATTCAAATTCAAACATGAAAGACTTGTTCAACATTGTCGGCGGTCAAATGGCTTCATGTGTAGACAGACCTCATCGTCTTATGAACCCAGAACTGACAAAGCTGACACAGGAAAAACCAGATGCTTTAGATGCATTCAGGAAATTAATTCTACCAAATTGACCAATGGCCAAAACAAACTCTATAGCTCCTTTTTCCTGGAAAAGTACACTGATTTTACATGGCTCCCATCAGAAAATAAACTTCAATATGAGTGAAAGCTACTTCAATTAAATTCAAAAGCAGATTTGAGGATTAAAGAGTAAAAGTACCTGAGTGATGCATCCACCGAGGCCCATGCCTTCAAAGAATTGGTGAAAGCTCAAGGCAGCAACAAGAGGCCTGATTGTGCTTGGACTCTCTGAAGCTCCCAACGAGATCCCTATGATCACTGAGTGCACCACGATCCCCAGCTCTAGCACCTAACGATATTGGGAAGAAGAATTAATAGAGTTAATGAGAACTAATGCGCGGAAATTGGGAATCACGGGACGAACCTGAGATATCACTCTATGCCGCAGGAGATCCGAGTCCGAGTCCGTCGATATCGGACCGTGAGAATGGCCGTGAGTTGCGTGCGTGTGCGCTTGTACATCGCCTGGGTTTTCCCTGGCCTTCTCTTCGTCCAAGACCACGCTTTTGTCCGGTCCGGCCTTGCTGGCGTGCAACTTCTTATAATAAGAGGTGGCGACGGTGTCCACCATCAACGTCCCGAGGGCGGCGAGCATCGCCACGAACCCCGCGAACGGGAACTTCCCCCACGGGGTCTCGTTCAGGCACGGCGAGGTCAAGCTGTCGAAGGCGTCCGGGAGGACGTGTATGAACCCGGTGGACAGTATCACCCCGGCCGCGAATGCCTTGATGATGAAGAAGATGCCCCTCTCCGGGTGCAGGGCCGGGACCCTCTTCCCGAGGATGGGCAGGCACACCCCGATCGCGCCCGCCACGAGGATGGACGCGATCGCCGCGAGCTTGTACTTGAGGGCCTGGCTCCGGTTGCGGCCCTCTTCCCCGCTGTCGCACGTGCACTCCGCCGCGGCGAGCGGGATCAGCGCGAGCATGCACAGCAAGACCCGCATGGCTTCGATGTCGAACGACCGAGCTCGTGCTCCCAACGGTGGGGTTGTGCGCCACAGCCAAGGTCGTCGCCGGGCACCTCCGGTGGTAGAAATTGCAGGGTATCACCTCTGTCAAATCGTTGTTTCTTGCTCCTCGTACTTCTGAGACTCTAAAGGTCGTCCTGGAGATTCGATATATAGCTGCGGGGCTGAGATTATTGGAGAAACAGTGGGGTCATTGTTGACCATTCATACGCGTTTTTGAGCCGACGAATGTCGGGTTCGTTACGCGAACTCGAAAGCATTGAAGGAAAGTGGTGACGGGCAGCGATGTTCCACAAAAGGATGGTGACGAGCAGTTCGATGACATTGAGGTAATTGGCGAGACAGTGTGTCAATACTATGTCGACATCCTTCGGGGGTTTTTCACATTGCCTTAAATAGTTCGACGCGTCAAGCGGGAAATACGGGACGAATTTGCCCACCAAAGGGGACATCCGTGTCTGCCCAAATACGGCGTATCTTGTTTATTCATTTCTCAGCCTGTTTGTCGGTTCGTATTTACGTTTCGAAAAATCGATTTTTTAATATTTTAATCGCAAATTTTCGGGTTGAATTTCTAATTTGAGAAGTGATTTGGCCTGAGAGGAGTAAGATATACAAGGGGAAGTACTTTGGGAAGTTAAAAAAGATAGTGTGTTTGGATAGTGGAGATATCACGGACAGAAGTTTCTTTCTTCCCATATTAAATGTGTAAGCTATCAATTCCTTCTATTTTCGCTTTTCGTTTAGAAAGCGGAAGATTATTTTTCGTCAACACCAATAGATCGAAATTTAACTGTTTTTCAGATAAGAGATTTCCTATAATACAATACTATATCAAGCTATTTTTTGGTTAATGTTCATGGTTAGTAGTTTCCTGATTGGAGTAGGTTTTTCTGATTTGGGAAGTTTGCTAGCTTGGATGGGTTTCCTGAAAAGATTGCTTTGTCGGATCCAAATATTATATATATAATAATCGGAATTTTACTCGGTTATTATGTCTAGAGTTTGAATTCGTGCATGAAATCCGATCCATGTGGAGGATGTAGAGCGATTTGTTAAACCGAATCAATTAAAAGGAAGAAATCTATTTTCCTATTTAGATTAGAATTCCTCCAATTATCTAACGAAAGGGGTCCTTCATCTCTAAGGTCTCTCCCTTAGGCTTTTAGAGATGTAAAACCTCAAATGGGATATTAAGATAAGCATCCAGGTGAAACTTAGGGGGCTAGACGTGCGGGCACCGACATATAAAACAAAAAACGCAATTCTTTCAACCTACAGAGTGCATGCACCTGGACAGGCAGGGCGATTCCAATCGAAGGTTTACTTCCTTTGCTATGGGGAGGTACACTTGTAACCACCATCAAGGATTAACGATAAGCATTTAGTTACGAGTGTACATATTACAAGGCACACTCGTAACCAATTATCTATTTGGATTAGAATTTCTCCAATTATCTAACGAAGGGCCACACATACATCGGCTATTGAGGTCTTCGGTTTCTTTGGTCAGAGGACTTTTGTGTTTGTTTTTATTGGTGGAGATATTTTTCTTCGTTTGACCGATATAGCGGGACTCTCGCAAAAGTTGACGGGAGACTCCTTTAAAAGGCGACCCACACGCGCACGCGCGCGCATATATATATATATATATGCCGAACAGAGGGTTTTCTTGAGAAAATGAGCCGTTGTACGAAGAAGAAAAAGAAAGAATCAATTGAGTTATTTGTTTGTAAATACGGTAAGTGTGAACTTAATCTAGATGGAAGAAATATATGAATATATGAGCGATTGTAATTTTGATTTTCCGATTATTAATGAATTATCTGTTGCTGGCTCTCCTGTTGTAGTATATATCGACACTTGGTCCGAATCATGTAATTTTCTGTTGTCATCTATTGTTTCTCGTTTATATCTTTGGTGATTTTGTGTTGATTTAATTGCCAGATTCTATCAATTTCTACGTTATATTTCAACATCAGCACCGTTTCAATCACGTTTTGGTAATATGATTTTTTTTTTAAGAATGTCCTAAATACTTGTTGACCATAAAAAAGATATTCCAATTTCCAGAGCATTCATTTTATAAAATATGAGAAAAATGGTGAATTTGAAATTGGTGAATCTTTTTTTTGGCAGTGGGTTGATAAGTATTTCGAAACACTCATCAGTTGAGGTATATACGACAGAGATCTCGAAACGAATCGTACTCAAATTTAAGGTTGAAAGTTCATTTGGAATTTGTTTATCGTATAGTAAGATTATCTTTTGTCTCTTAAACCCTGTTACTTTATTATTATGTAAAGAAAAATCTGAAATACAAAGAGAAAAAAGTATTAACTCAAACTACCATTAACTTTGAGAAGTCCATCACTAATCGCCAAATTTGAAGTAACGCATGTGACAGCTCACAAAAAAGGGTGCACAATTCAAATGGAACCCATTCGGGTTTTTTTTTTAATTTAATTGATACGACGTTCGATTAATCTGCACACAAATAATTATTTTTTCCGCATATCGTACACATGTATCTTATTTTCTAAGTAAAATGTGCTTAGCTTTCTAAATGTGATTGGCCGGCATCAAATTGAACGCCACGTGTCGGAAAGATAAGCCCGTTATTGTATCAGTTTCATAATGGTGGTGGCTGTGGATGAGAGGAGGACCAAAAGAGTTGCCAACCACGCTGCATTTGTACATCCTTTCCTTTGACCAAAGACCGATTACGTCATATAGCTAATGATGTAGCCTTGGCAAAAAATTCCAAAGGCACATAAATATATGCTTAATTTAAAATGACCAAGGTTGTGGTGTGCTTGACTTTTCGGAGATGTGCCTTATGGGCCCCCTTTTGTGAATGGTGGTGGAACACATGGTGATGGGGCGCACGCGTGGTGGTCTCACGTTCACGTTCACATTCACAGTCAACCCTTCTTTCCACCTTCTATCCCTTGTTCGAGGACCTTTGGTTTGGACTAATTTTCAACCCAAATCTAACTTATCGAATCGATTTTTATTTTAATTCGAATAGAATTCTCGAATTGTCGTAAGGTATATTCGAATTCAAACCCGATAATGTTTATCTCCAAATTTATAAATGAGAAGGATAACACTATTAAGTAGAGAAAATGTACTTCTTGTTACGAAAAACAAGCGATTGAACGTACTAGTAAGCAGAAAGAGGAAATAATTCAAACACTAGGTATGATCTGGATAGCATAATCAAATAAGTGATCATACCATTGGTTTGGATTGTCAAAATTGACACTGTTAGATATGGAGTTCAAAAAGTATGAATGCTTAAAATTCTTTTTCCATCGAGACAAATATGTAGTTGCTCGGTATCTCATTTACTCCAATGTGATGAATAACACATAGTGCATGTCTACTGAGGTAGCCCTTAAAAGCAAACATCCCACAGATGCAGCGAACTTCAGTTCCCGTGCTACGACACAAAACCTCAAGTACGACAATTTTGGAATTACCATTATCATGATCGCCTTGATGCTCCTTTACTCTGAAAGTTGATGCTACTCCATCCGTGTGCACTTGAGTTACGTTAAAGCACTGCAGCATCGTCTCAACTTCAACTTGAAACTTTTTAAAGGTACTATGGGTATATATGGAGCAGAGTTGCCTCTCATAAACACTTGGTTTTCAACAAAGGTTCTGAATTCTGACTGACTTGGAGTGCAAGCTCATATTTAGAGACAAAATCACTCAAACATGTTTGTCTATGTACATATCCATCAAAAAAATAATTCATACCCTAACTTCTTTGAGTAGTTGACTTGCCTGCAAAAAATGTATTTTTCAAATAAACTTGCACCTCCCGACCAAAAAAAAATAAAAAATACTTGCACCCATTTTTCCTGTTCCTCATACAGTGTTTGAAGCCAGTCGGTTTCATGGAGTCCATGTGCATCAATCAGCTCCTTCCAAGCAATCTCAAAGTCACTCACACGTATAGTGAGTCGCAAACTGCTTTTTCTATTGCTAACTTTATACTCTTACATTGAAGATGACCCCCTAATTTTTGCGGCAATTTTTGCATTATATGCCATAAACAAAGGTGATGACGAGCAAACAGAAGTACTTCAGAAATTGCATTCTGCATTGCTTTACACTCGTCAATAATAATAGCTTGAGGGGCGTTCCCTCACATGCAATCAAGCCTAGCCTTAAACAACCAAATGAAAGAGCTTGTTGTCTCATTTGCAAGCAAACCACATCCTAACAAAACTGACTGACCATTATGGTTGACACCGACAAATGGAGCAAAAGGCATGTCATATTTATTTGTCAAATAAGTGGTATGAAATGGGACTACATCTTTAAAATATTGGTGCGCGTTTCTTGATTGTGTGTCCTCCCAGAAAACATAATGCAGTCTTTGTTCATCATCCAAATCAAGCACATAATAAAAATTGGATTTCTTCAACTGCATGGTTGAAAAATAATTGAAAAGTGCTTGCCCATCTCCTTCTTGCAATTTCAACCTTTTGTACTCTGTAACACGATTTCTAACATTTTTTTCTTCTAAATTTAAGTTCTCATGTCCTCTTTCTTCAACAACCAACGCTTGAAACGATTCATTTGTTCTAATCCCTGCATCACAGTGCAACTCGATTTTTCTTTTTGTTTTAGAGTCAATATTCCTGTGTGATGTAAATAATTTAGCGCTTTGAGGAGTTGTTAAATGATTATAATCAAGTACAACTTTTGTTATTTCCCACTTCTAAGACTCAACTGGATGTACTCTCGACCATTACTGGACAACCGCATCTTTTTCCCGATCTTGACTTAAACAGTTCCTTTCGATCTTGTACCCTTGACGACTGCAACAAAGTGCCGCACCACATTTTTCCTCGCTATCTTTTTTTTTTTAGAGTTAATGCCACAAAATACTTTATATTAATATATTTGTGATAATTTTATCATCCATTAATTTTCAATAAATTTTATCGTAAAATTTTTTAGTTATATGACAAGTGACAGTTAACGGATATACCGGTTTTGTGTTTTACCTCTTTGTTTTTCACATGTTTATCAATTTGTGATTTTTTTTATTAATTTAATTTAACAGAGGGTCATTTTGTCACAAGTGTACCAGTTTGGATTTTTTTTGTGGTCAAAAAATTAGTTCAGGGTAAATTTGTCACATGTGTACCGGTTTATGACTTTACCAAAAAAAAAAATTAGCTCGGGATAAATTTGTTATAAGTGTACCAATTTGGGGTTTTTCGTGGGATTAACTCTTTCTTTTATACGAGTTTAATACC